TTTTTTTTTTTAGGTGTCGCCACCAATAGGCCACACCAATTTAATTTCTTGGTTAACGGATTTTTCTACAAAAATAATGGAGCGGGCGGGCGAAAAAATAAATAAAAATAAAAACAGGCCTAGGCATCCTATTATGGTACGATGGCACGATAGGAGCCATAAAGTCAACACCACACCAGGCTGGTTCAAAATTTAATGAGTTTTTAACTTTTAATGATACCATTGCATTGAAAGATGGAATAACTATAACAACTAGGATGAAAAGGACTGTTTTCAACTGTTCAGGGCAAAATATGAGCATTTTGCAGCTGATTCTGAATTTTTATTTTTATTTGCAAATCAGAAAAAAATGAAGCGGCGAATCCATTAACCAAGAAATTAAATTGGCCTAAGTTTAAAATACCATAACCTAAACAAACACGGCCTGGCATCTGTGTTTCAAATGCTTAAGCACTGTCGTGAGGCATCTTATTTTGACACCTCCACTAACACTTATTTGAAATGGAGTAGGGTTGATTCAGCTTTTTAATAAACAAAGAAATGACTCAACCTTCAAGTTATTGTATTCTCCTAACTTGTAAAGCTTCATTATGTAACATTGGGGTGGTTATATTGTCAACCATGTTTGTTTATATTCCTGTAGTTTGGAGTGGCACTACAGACTGAATGCGCCTCGTGTGGGCTGTTATAATGCCAACCATGAATGTCAAAAATGTTAAATAACGGCAAAATATATGGACGTAAATAAAGACGTAGATGACGATCACTAGATATTTTTAATTAATTTTAAATCGTTGGTGCAAAAATGTTACATAATGCAGCTTTAAGTCCTATGTAAGTCGTATATAAACCCACCTGGCTACATCTGCGCGGCACATCCCTCGCATCCCGTCTTTTTCACGCACGTCTAGATCTGGTCCTTCCTCAGTGCGGAATGCCATGTCTGAGAAAAGCATACGTTGTAAAGTCAAAACAATTTAGAATCAGACATTAATTATCTGGACCAGATTCACTTTTTAGTCACCCATGCACGGCCTGTCTTCTTTTTTAAAAATTTTGTTTGAATTTAATTTCTCTGTAAACTATTTACTCCAAGGGGGGTATTTGTTAAAGAACCACTTATTGAAAAAAGTAGAGGTCCTTCCCGGTGTGAGTCTTTCAAACAATGCAATCCAATAAGATATGATAAATGAAATCAAATCAATCCGGTCTTACGCAGCTTGTACTTACATGTGCATGTACAAAACCGGTGAATCACGCCTAAAGACAGTTTACCGGCTATGCGAAACGAACAAACAAATAAAAAATAAATAAATAAAAACTACCAGTGACTGGTCCCATCGTTAAATGTGGCGGTCTGACCACGGTGAAAAATTCAGTACACAAAATTAATACATGTCCGTCCGGTTGTGCGATTAACCCTAATCATACCTTAAGGTGGCCCTTAAAACTTTAAACGCTTATTCATCCCAAACCAAAGATGATAAATGGAAACGGTTTGCGGACTTTTAATACTGAGATCATTACCTTTCAAACGACACCAAACTTGACCTTCTGGTACCTTCCGTTGCCCTAACCCTAAACCTACCTTAAGGCTGCCCTTAAAACTTTAAATGCTTATAAATCCAAAACCAAAGATACTAAATGAAAACGGTATGCGGAGATTTAATATTGAGACCATTACCTTTCAAAGGACACCAAATTTGACCTTCTGGTACCTTCGGTTGCCCTAACCCTAACCCTACCTTAAGGCTGCCCTTAAAACTTCAAACGCTTATAAATCCCAAACCAAAGATGATAAATGGAACCGGTTTGCGGACCTTTAATACTAAGACTGTATTAAACAGCTCACCTATCTCTATAAAAGATAGAGAGTTTTTTGTCCGACAACCATGAAACCAATTTAAACATTGATAATAACGTTCAAAACATTCAAGAAATATTAGACTCGGCTGCGAAAGCATCGCTACAAATGAAATGTACTAAAATGACATGTAGGCAAAAAGCGAACAAGAAATGGTTCGATAAAAGTTGCTAAGACTTCATGCATGAACTAAAAAAACTTAAGATACCTTCTAATACAAACCCAAAAAATCCGTTTCTGAGAGGTAACTATTTTAAAAAGAAAAGGAGTATAATAAACTTATCCGACTGCGCAAAAGAGAACATGAAAAGAGTTGTCTAGAACAATTAGCAAATCTACAAGAAAACAACCCCACTGCGTTCTGGAACTTACTTAAAAAAACTAAAAAGAGACAACACCACACCCCTAGAAGACACATGGGTGGAACATTTGAAAGCCCTCCATGATAAATCCAGACAACAAGGTCAAGCCTTCGACCTTGCCTTTGAAAAAGATACATTATGCAAATTACATACGTTGCGGAAAGGTGAGGCAAATCCGAGTCCCCTAGCTAGATGACCCAATAACGGAATTAGAAACAGATATACACCTGTTAAAAAAGAAAAAAAGCAAGTGGAGAAGACAGGATAACTAATGAAATGGTTAAAGCAGGAAAATTAACCTTACTGGCACCGTTAGTGAAATTATTCATTTAGATTCTGTCAAAAGGAAACTACCCCAAAGAATGGTCGAAAAGTTATATTGTTCCCATTTTTAAATCGGGTAGAAAGGACGAAGTGAACAACTATCGTAGAATATCGATATCTAGCTGCCTGGGCAAATTATTTACATCAGTGTTAAACAGAAGAATATCGACATTCCTAGAAGAGAACAAACTCATCAAACCAAACCAAACGGGCTGCCGGAAAAACTACAGAACTTCAGACAACATTTTCATACTTAAAACATTAATCTCAAAATATAGTCAATCGGGAAAACGTCTGTACGCTTGTTTTGTAGATCTCTCCAACGCTTTCGATTCAATTTATTTTTCAAACTTCTATCTAAGGCATATCCGGCAAGTGTTTTAGTATCATCCAAAGTCTTTATAACCAATCCGAAGCACACGTTAAAACTATTGGTGGTTTAACAGAGAGCTTCCCTGTTCAGATTGGTGTCCGTCAAGGCTGCGTATTGAGTCCAACATTATTCAACCTTTATATCAGTGACCTTGTTAACGACTTAAACATGGCAGACATTAACGCACCGCTATTACACCACTCAAAAGTAACAAGTTTGCTATATGCCGATTACATTGTCTTGCTGTCCGAAAGTCAACAAGGCCTGCAAAATGCAATAGACACGCTTGGTAGATACTGCCAAAAGTGGAAACTAACTGTCAACCTAAATAAAACAAAGATTATTGTATTTAATAAGAAAGGACACACCTTTTCAAAACTTAGCTTTAAATTATTCTCCAAAGACATAGAAGTAGTTTCGTCTTATTCTTACTTAGGTGTAGTCTTTACAGCTGGATGTAACTTTAACACAGCGATGAAATCACTACAAAAGAAGGCATTACGAGCGTGGTTCAGCATTAAATGTACTCTCGGAGACACTAGGGCTCCTATATCAGTTTACCGTAAGCTTTTTGATCAGTGTGTTATCCCTATATTATTGTACGGAGCGGAAGTGTGGTGCAACAACAGATTAAATGATAACTCGCCGCTTGAACAAACACACTTAAAATTCTGTAAGCAAATTCTAGGATTAAGACGAAACGCTAGTAACTATGCCAGTAGAGCTGAACTTGGCCGCTCCCCCTATGGATTGAAGCGTATTGTAGAATGTACAGCTATTATTATAGATTAGTTAGAAATGTTCCCGTTGAAAGCCTTCAGTATGAAGCTTACATAGTACAAAAAGACCTTGTTAGAAGTAAAGTACCTCGTTGGTTGTTAAACATTAAGACAATTTTAGAGGAGTCCGGCTATGCATGCCTATATACACACGAGTATATTAACAAACCATTCCATCTGCACGAACTAAAACAAAGATTAAAAGATATATCCAGAAATTCAATTCAGCACTACAAGCACAAGGACAAAGAGAAAATCAAGGCAACAACCTGAAAACGTACAAAACATTCAAAGTACGATACGACAGAGAACCATATTTAGTGAGTTCCATCCCACCCACTGGCACACGAGCAAGTGTACAGGTTAACTCCATCCTGACATTCACCTCCATTCTGACAGGGGGCGATAACACACTCGTCAATGTCTGAAAAATTTTGAATCATGTACCTTTAAGGCATTTATCATTTCTACTTACTGGTATGCATATACATAATACGTAACATAAATATTGCTACGGAAAATAATTTGACTTAATAATTACAGTACTTGCGGAATGCATTGTAAACAGTACAAACTAGCTTAAGTGCACTGTGAACTATCTAACACCTTTAGTGCACTATGCACCAAGTAACATCTAGCGTCAGTGCACAGTAAACCAGTCAGAATTGCCCTGCTGATGAAGATGACTTAATAGCTTTACTAAAATTCAAGGATTTGACATAATTACCGTTGCAGGTCTTTTCGACGGTGTCAAGTTCGTAACCGGTAGGACATCCACACGTGTAGGACCCGTCCGTGTTGGTACAGTCGTGAGAACAGTCGTCAATATCTGTTGCACACTCGTCCACATCTGTTTAAGGAACGTTATATGGTTATATGTTGAACCAAATGTCAAAGGTTCGATGTAACAAGTCGCTCAGTGTAATATAGATAATGTAACACGCCGCGGAAGGGAGCTGATGTGTTACAGCGAGGAGCGTTTGTACCGGCTATAGATGAAGATACAAAGAAATCTGAGTATCAAAGCAACCAACATTGTGTTCAAGCTACTAAAAAGACAAATGAATTAATCACCTTCACAGGTCATTTCGTCTGAGCCGAGTTGGTATCCTGTAGGACATCCACACGTGTAAGACCCGTCCGTGTTGGTACAGTCGTGAGAACAGTCGTGGAGATTTCTGGAACATTCGTCCACGTCTGTTTGAGAAGAAGAAAAAAATATTATCTCTTTATTCATTTAATCTCAAGATGATTATTCCAAACATTCAAAGGCTTAGCCGTTCCATGGTCAAAGCACAGAGTTAAATCTTGGATACTGTAAGAAACAAAGTCAAAGCACAAAAGTGTTAATATTTTGGTACATGGTAACACTAAATTCAAGCAAGCTTACGTATAAAAAACGGTTGTTTTCAATAATTACCGTTACAGGTCCTGTCGTCAGAGCCGAGTTCGTAAGCTTCAGGACATCCACACGTGTAAGACCCGTCCGTGTTGGTACAGTCGTGAGAACAGTCGTACTGATCTGACTCACACTCTTTCAAATCTGTTTGTAAATGAGAAGATAAAACTTTGTAATGACAATATACAACTTTGTAACAGTATATCGAGCACTACTATAAAAATAAAAGTATAAATGATAATTTCAGCCACACCAGAAAAAATAAAAAATAAAAAAATAGCCTAGCTACTTACCATGACAGGTCCTTCCGTCCGTATCGAGTGCATATCCTGTATGACAGTCGCAAGTGTAGGACCCATCCGTGTTGGTACAGTCGTGTGTACAGTCGTGGGCACTTGTAAAACACTCGTAAACATCTGTGTAAGAAGGATACAAAAGTATTAGCTTAAACAAAAAGACCCAAGGGCTTAGTGAAAGGTACTAGATCCTAGATCCTAGCAATTGGAGTCATTGTGGAAAATGAGTAATCCAAACAGATACCTTCACAAGTCTTGTCGTCCGAGCTGAGTTGGTATCCAGTATGGCAGTCACACGTGTAAGACCCGTCCGTGTTGGTACAGTCGTGTGAACACTCGTCCTGATCTGACGCACACTCATCCACATCTGTAAATGAGAAGATACAAATTTGTATATCGAGCACTAATGAAGAAAATCGACAAACTACACACATAGATGATTATTTCAATTACACCCAAAAGAAAACAAACAAACAAACAAACAAAAATTAATACTTACCATCACAGATCCTTCCGTCCATATCCTGTAGGACAGTCGCACGTGTAGGACACGTCTGTGTTGGTACAGTCGTGTGAACAGTCGTGAGCACTCGTAGAACACTCGTCATCATCGGAGTAAGACGGATACAAAATAACTTACGAATACAGCTGAAAAGACGGAAGGGCTACCTATTAGATGGTCATTGTAGTCACCGTGGAAAAATGAATAATCAAAATAGATACATTTTGTACCTTCACAAGTCTTTTCGTACGTCCGAGCTGAGTTGGTATCCTGTGGGACAGCTACATGTGTAGGACCATTCTGTGTTGGTGCAGTCGTGTGAACACTCGTCCAGCAATAAAGCGCACTCGTCCACATCTGTTTGAAAGCAAGAAAGCGTTTAGTATTGTGTGCAAAGAGAAACCAGCTTATGAAATATTACATTGACCACGGAAACAGCTAGGGTAAAAATAAAAACACATGCATCATCATGGACATGCCTGCAGACGACGTATAAAATTACATGCCGGTTAAACAAATGGAACCCTGTGTTCTTAGCTACCTGCGGACGCGAAAAACCGACTAACCACAATACTCCTGCAGGAGTGATTTCACAAGAACAAACATTAGCTCTGTTGTTTGATTTAAGGAATGCAATTTAAGACTTTTGGAAGGAGTCAATCCTTCACGGAGTAACAAAACGGTTATTTCAATTGATTACCGTTGCACGTCTTGTCGTCTGAGCTAAGTGTGTACCCATCCGGACATCCACAGCTATAGGAACCCTCCGTGTTGGTACAGTCGTGAGAACAGTCGTGGAGACTTGAAGAGCACTCAACATCTGTTTACAAAATGATAACAAAATATAAATACTTTAATTCTAGATATTTCAACGATTTATCTGATGTAAATATTATTTTGTTTCCAGTGGTAACGTTAATATTAAGTTCGCTTGTTTGTATGAGTTCGTTACCTCTATCAATTGTGTTGTTCTTTTTAAATGTTGAACTAAAAAAGATAACCTTAAAGGTCATCAAGCAATTAAACAAAGAAAGCTGACAAACAATGGAAATTATTACCTGTGCAGGTGATTTCGTCTGAGCTCAGTTCGTACCCATCCGGACATCCACAGGTGAAAGACCCGTCTGTGTTGGTACAGTCGTGAGAACATCCAGCAAGCCACGAGGCGCACTCGTCCACATCTGAGGCAGTTTAAATGAACATATGCTTATTCTCGTTTCTAATGATAGCAATATATGGTCTGTTTTATTGCGATGCATTTTAAGACATGGTAGTGGCTCAACTTTTTTCATGCCGCCACCAACGCAGAGGACAATAGTCATTTTCACTTGAGAGAAGTGAGGGAATTGCCTCTCCCAAGGGCAGAAGAGTTGTTGGCATGGCAGGATTCGAACCCGAAACCTCTTGGTTCTGAGCAGTCACATCAGACAAAACTGATCCAAATGATTACCATTGCAGGTTATTTTGTCTGAGCTGAGTTCAAAACCTGTAGGACAGTCAGATGGGTAGTTCCCGTCTGTGTTGGTACAGTCGTGAGAACAGTCATGAAGATTCGAAGTACATTCATCCACATCTGTTGAAAAGTGGAAAAAATACAGCATTAAAGAGTCGGCGAAGACTGTAGAACTAGTACGTCGATGTAGGTTAGACATCCAGGTAATACGATACGCCAAAAAGCAGTTACTCAAGCAACTGGATATGATTTTAAAAAAGGTCAGACGTTTCAGCTAGCATCCACTAGCTTTCGTCAGTGACTGAGAGACCAGAGGGGAAATGCAGGTTTATAAGCACAACCTATTGATTGACAAAGCGCTCAAACCTTCAGATCAGTCTAAGAAAACCCAGAAGTGCAAACCATTGACCAACAAAAACAAGGTCAACATCACTATTCCGTATGTCCAAGGAGTATCTGAGAAACTCCGACGGATCTTCCAAAACATCAACATAGCCACTAACTTCAAACCTCACTCAACTCTCAGACAAAGACCAGTACACCCTAAGGACCGACCTCACAAAGGTACCAAGGCGAATGTTATTTACAGACTCAAATGTGAGGAGCCCAATTGTAAGAACACCTACATCGGAGAGACAAGTCGACCAATCAAAGTAGGATACAAAGAACATTGACGACCTAGTGCCAACGGCTACTCCTCAGCTATTTTCCACCACCTACAACACAACCAGGGTCACTCTTTCAAACTCGAGTCCACGGATATCTTAGACCGCGAAACACGCTGGTGGGAACGGGGTGTTAAAGAGGCAATATATGAAAGAATGTGCAACCCAACCCTCAACAGGGAAGGAGGGCTACGGGTCGATCTTTCCGGCACTTGGTTTTTTGGCACTCCCAGCCCCGAGGACAGACAACACTTAAGCTCCTGTTCTGTATAACAGAAGCTTTCAGACTAATTTGCATCATCTTGTCTTGACTTGTCTAACTTTTGTTCCTTTTTCGACTTTCAAAAATTTGTCGTCACTTCATTTTCATATCAATCAATAGGTTGTGCTTATAAACCTGCATTTCCCCTCTGGTCTCTCAGTCACTGACGAAAGCTAGCGGATGCTAGCTGAAACGTCTGACGTTTTCAAAATCATATCCAGTTTTTTGTTGTAGAGCCAGTAATGCTTTAGTTGAAATTGAAAGAGTCCAACATGATAATGCAGTCCTGCACTACCACTCACAATATTTTGTCAAAATACTGTATATGTGGTCTGTTTACATTATTGGTCACTATTTACAAGAACTGCTGACATATTTGTATGTTTTTTCCTGACCTTGGCAAATGTTCCATCCACACTGACATCATATCCGTCCATACTCGTACACTCAAAACTCCACTCATACAGCTAAAGGGACCTGTCCTTGGTGCTGAACGCTCCATTCACACAGCTAAAGGGACCTGACCTTGGTGCTGTACGCACCATTCACACAGCTAAAGGGACCAGTCCTTGGTGCTGAACGCACCATTTACACAGCTAAAGGGACCTGACCATGGTGCTGTACGCACCATTCAGACAGCTAAAGGGATCTGTCCTTGGTGCTGAACGCACCATTTACACAGCTAAAGGGACCTGTCCTTGGTGATGTACGCACCATTAACAAAGCTAAAGGGACCTGTCCTTGGTGCTGAACGCACCATTCACATAACATAAGGGACCTGTCCTTGGATCTGAACGCACCGTTCAAACAGCTAAAGGGATCTGTCCTTGGTGCTGAACGCACCATTAACAGCTAAAGGGACCTGTCCTTGGTGCTGTACGCACTATTCACACAGCTAAAGGGACCTGTCTTTGGTGCTGTACGCACCATTCAGACAGCTAAAGGGATCTCTACTTGGTGCTGAACGCACCATTTACACAGCTAAAGGGACCTGTCCTTGGTGCTGAACGCACCATTTACACAGCTAAAGGATCCTGTCCTTGGTGCTGAACGCACCATTCACATAACTTAAGGGACCTGTCCTTGGTGCTGAACGCACCATTCACACAACTAAAAGGATCTGTCCTTGGTGCTGAACGCACAATTTACACAGCTAAAGGGACATGTCCTTGGTGCTGTACGCACCATTCACACAGCTGAAGGGACCTGTCCTTGGTGCTGAACGCACCATTCGAACAGCTAAAGGGACGTGTCCTTGGTGCTGAACGCACCATTCACACAGCTAAAGGGATCTGTCCTTGGTGCTAAACGCACCATTTACACAGCTGAAGGGACCTGTCCTTGGTGCTGAACGCACCGTTTAGAAAGTTAAAGGGATCTGTCCTTGGTGCTGAACGCACCATTCACACAGCTAAAGAGACCTGTCCTTAATGCTGAACGCACCATTCACACAGCTAAAGGGATCTGCCCTTGGTGCTAAACGCATCATTCACAGAGCTAAAGGGACCTGTCCTTGGTGCTGAACGCACCATTTAAGGTTCTAAAAGGACCTGTGCTTAATGCTGAACGCAGTATTCACACAGCTAAAGGGACCTGTCCTTGGTGCTAAACGCACCATTCACATAACTTAAGGGACATGTCCTTGGTGCTGAACGCACCATTCACACAGCTAAAAGGATCTGTCCTTGTGCTGAACGCACCATTTACACAGCTAAAGTGACCTGTCCTTGGTGCTGAACGCACCATTCAAGGTTCTAAAAAGGACATGTCCTTGGTGCTGAACACACTATTCACACAGCTAAAAGGAACTGTCCTTGGTGCTGAACGCACCATTAACATAGCTTAAGGGACCTGTTCTCGGTGCTGAGCGCACCATTCAAGGTTCTAAAAGGACCTGTCCTTGGTGCTCAACGCACCATTCACACAGCTTAAGTGACCTGTCCTTGGTGCTGAACGCACCATTCACACAGCTAAAGGGACCTGTCCTTGGTGCTGAACGCACTATTCACACAGCTAAAGGGACTTTGGTACTGTACGCACCATTCACCATGTCCTTAGTGCTAAACGCACCATTCACATAGCTAAAGGGACCTGTCCTTGGTGCTGTACGCACCATTCACACAGCTAAAGGGACCTGTCATTGGTGCTGAACGCACAATTCACAAAGCTAAAGGGACCTGTCATTGGTGCTTTACGCACCATTCACATAGCTTAAGGGACATTTTCTTGGTGCTGAACGCACAATTCACACAGCTAAAGGGACCTGTCCTTGGTGGTGAACGCATCATTTACACAGCTAAAGGGACCTATCCTTGGTGCTGAACGCACCATTCACACAGCTAAAGTGACCTGTCCGTAGTTCTGAACGCACCATTCACACAGCTAAAGGGACCTGTCCTTGGTGCTGAACGCACCATTTAAATAGCTAAAGGGACCTGTCCTTGGTGCTGTACGCACCATTTACACAGCTTAAGGGACCTGTCCTTGGTGCTGTACGCACCATTCACACAGCTAAAGGGACCTGTCCTTGGTGCTGAACGAACCATTCACATAGCTAAAAGGACCTGTCCTTGGTGCTGTACGCACCATTTACACAGCTAAAGGGACCTGTCCTTGGTGCTGAACGCATCATTCACATAGCTTAAGGGACCTGTCTTTGGTGCTGAACGAACCATTCACATAGCTAAAGGGGCCTGTCCTTGGTGCTGAGCACCGTATTCATACAGCTGAACTGATTGAAGGACAAGCTTTAATGTCGGCCATTTACATTTTTTAAAGAACATTTAAACAGTTGAAATTATTACCAGTATCCTTCCATCTGAGGTAAGGTTGTATCCCTCAGGGCAGCCACCTTCAGTTTTGGTACAGTCGTTTGAACACTCATCAAGCTCTAAATCACACTCGTCTACATCTGATCGTACATAGAAAAAAGAAAAACACAAAAAGGTATAAGTTCAGAAAAGTACAATATCAGTGCCGTAGTAACGTATTCAAATGGCGCCCAAGGTAAATGTACCCTCTAATAGTCATAAAAGGGTTGCAGATTTATATCTACATATTGTTATTAAACATTATCTTACTGTTTCTTTACTAGTGTTTTCATTATAAGTAAATAGAATTCGTTCGTGATGGGGGGACTCAAATAAGCCTGGTGGCTTTTTTTACAGCCAGGAACGTGTATTGGTAATTTATATTTTGTATTCTTTATGTGCAAACAAACAAATAAACAATCAATCCCTTTCGTAGGCACTAACCTTCACATGATGTTCCATCGTCACTGACCACAAACCCATCCCGACAGGAACACTCATAGCTCCTCAGGGTGTTGTGACACTCGTGGCAGTCTGGATTATCCTGGCTACATTCATCTATGTCTGAAAACAAACACGATTCTTGAATAGTAAAAGTTCTTTTTTCACAACCATTTGTTTGATTCGACGTTACCATGACCGTCTGTCATCTTCATCTAGGTGAACCATGTGACATCTACATTATGTATAGTTACTGTAAATCAGTAAAAAAAATTATTACCGTTGCAGGTCCTTTCGTTTGAGTCGAGTTCATACCCATCCGGACATCCACACGTGTAGGTTCCATCCGTGTTGGTACAGTCCTGTGAACACTCGTCAATACCTGCTGCACACATCCACATCTGTTTAGAAATCAACAAAACAAAAGGCTTTAAGCAGAGTCTGATAAACTAGAAATTGTGAAAAACGACCGAAAATTTTCAATAGTACTGCCCAACATTGAGTCCATTCGTTCACAACATTGTCTACTCGTGGCATGCAGATGAATAGGCGGATGTCTCAAACAGAAAGCGTAACTAACCTCCGAAAGTGATTCCATTTGAGACGCCATCGTTTACGTTCACCTCCAAAAATCTCTTACCACTCCTGCGTGAAATCCCGCGTGCTCTCGCTAGGTTGTGCTCTCGCGAGAGCTGATTTCAAAATGGCGCCATGATTTGAAAAGGGGTCTACATGTACATGTACTCCCCTTTCTACATTGTATTCAGCCCGCAAAAGAAGTCTGGTGGAGGGCAACAAACATACAACAAAAAAATAAAAACACAGCTAACCAGTGATGACGTCACTTGCGTTACTCCACTCCCTCATCCCCATGTCCGTGACGTCAGTGCCGTTGTCCGGCTCGTTCCCGGTATCCTGATGACCTGAGCCCAACTCGTTCCTCTTTGTTGTCTCTCGCGACAGCGCGTCCATCCTCCACCGGAACGGGTCAGCCTGCTGCGCCCCTTTGCTGATCTTCAGGAACGCAAAGACGGAGCCGAACGGGACTCCCTGGCCAGTCTCGCCCTTCTCCCCTCCCCCGTTGCCGCTCTCCTGCCACGGTCCCTTCGACGTCGACGAGTACTCGATGAGAACCCTCCCCGTCTTTCGCCAACTTCGTGCCCAGCGTCGGATGATCCTCAGTACGTCTCCCTTCAGCACGGATGTCCCGTTGACGGTTGTGTGCTTCAGCGGGACCAGGTAGTTCCCTCCCAGGATAGCACTGACGTGCCCAGACCTCTCCAAGTCTACGATATTGACACTTTGGATCGGGCCGTCCCTGACGACCAGGACGGTTTCGGAGGCCCTCCCCCAGTCAGGCAACTTCAACCTGCATCGCACTGCTGGTAGAGGGTGCACAGCGTCAGAAATTACCACTGAAAAGAATCATCATTGTATTATCACACGAGCTCACATACGTATATACACCAAAGCAAAACATGCACAAGACTGCGTGTACATTTGTATGATGATCGAACAACACGCTTACATATCATTTGAGTTTCAACGCATTGGAAAATAGAATGACCAGTATCGATGACAAAACTGTTATGGATATATCGTCAAAATAGACGAATAGAATCTATGATAAAATTTACTCGGGAACAGATTCTACGGTAACATTTACCTGGGAACAGATTCTCTGATAAGATTTACTTGGGAACAGGTTAGCCCTAGGAGCTAGCCTATAGCCAGCCTGCTAGCCTGTACACTGCGCCTTGAAACAGTCTGGCACCCAGACTAGAGCGTACAACGATCTTATGGCGTTTGTGACCGGCCCTTACCTTGATGTGTACACGGAATGACGAGGAAAGTGAAGTTCTCCAGCTGTTTGGTGGTGTTGAGCCTGTCCATCAGGTAAGTCGCCATCAGTGCGCTCTCGGCCCGAGCAGAGGTGGAGCTGTCGGACCTGGAGATTTTTTTCACAAACTTTATTCACATCAAATTACACACATAAATACAAAGAAACTCAGCACCATACAATTCACAACTTAGACAAAACATGCTTGTACATTCTCTTGTATAACAGGTTGAATGAAGGGGTGATTTCCTATTTAAATCATAGATCCATTGGTATGTATTTACCATTGTTTCTGTTACTACACCAGTTCGTGAATATAATATTTTGCAATACCTGTTAATAAGTTGATTATTACGTAAATTTTAGATGAGTTACAGAGGTAATTTGTTTTGCGCAAAGCACAATTTCTCTCAGACTTACTTGATGTTGGACCGGGAGATGTTCCACAGTGTGGACAGGAGCCCGTCGTCTTCTACCTGGCGCAGCTGGTCATCCGGTACTTCATCTGTATCCTCTGGTGCAGCACTGACCTCGCCATTCACTGCAACAAGACAAGAAATATATGATGGAGCTGGTAACTCACTCACTCACTCACTCTCTCTCTCTCTCTCTCTCTCTCTCTTTCTCTCTCACACTCCCTCCCATAATAGCTACTACAAACCTATGATTATCTCCAAGGGACGCTGTGCCTTCACCATCAGGTCCCTGGGCTGGTACTGCTCCGGGTCCTGTGTGAACTGGAACAGGATGTCCTGATAGGTGATGGCGTCGTCTGCTTCCCTTTTCCGGTAGTACATGGCCAGGAACGGGAGTTGCCAGGCCTGGGAGGGGTCCTTGCTTCCGGAACACATCGTAATTCTATCACAAACAACATCAGTGTTATTCATTTAAGTTTAACTGTCAACTCGCTGAGATCCAAATGAAGTCATGCTGAGGTCACATCCCCAAACCGGGCCCCGATCAGGACGCAGCTTTCGGGAACGAAAAGTACGTTAAGAATACACAAAACATTTCATAAACATTGGCACCTTGTATAAGCAAGCATCTTCACTCCGACCAACCAACCAACCAGCCAACCAACCAACAAATCAATCAATCAATCAATCAATCAATCACTGAACCATTGGTGACGAAAGGTTGCCAGATATCAAATGCCCTTGGTGAAAAGGGCCGTTTGGACCATCGTCGGATGGTCTCTGTAGCGTCATAGACCTCGCCCTCTTCTATAGTTCTTTTGAAAGCAGCACGTACCATTGGCCTACAGAGGGGTGGGGAACAAAATAATAATGTCTAGATTTCCGTAAATAATTTCATCAGGTTGGAAGATACTTAGGGTATAGAGTTTTCTTCTTACACAACCACAGAGCTTCTCACCTGCTTACGTTTCGATGTCTATCAGACACTTTCCTCAGAGCTTCTGACTGGAGTTCTGCAGGTGAGAAACTCTATTGTTGTGTAAGAAGAAAACTCTATACCCTAAATAATGTCTAGAGTTGGAAGTTCAAGGGTTAGGTGTAACAAGTCGATCGGTGTAATGTAGCCAGCTGTCGCCGCACCGCGTGCCTGCGAAGCTCGTGTGTTACGCCGAAGGGTGTTTATACCGGCTATACAGATACAGAATATGGCCTACAGAGGGGTGGGGAACACAATGATACATGTATGGCTTGTGGAGGGGTGGAGAACATAATACATTCATAAGTTACATCGTTTCTCATGTAACACCTTTGTGGTACCCAGTTCAAACAGTAAACTCAATTCTCCTTAGTGGATATGAAGTACTGCTTTGCTACTTATTGGGGCATATCAATGTGAAAGTTTGACTAGCCCCTTGTGCAAAGAACGTTTGCCACTCGTACGTGCAAAGAAGCAGCAAACTGAAAGACGGTATACCCGTGTAAATCCGGCACCAGGAACAGCAAGGGCGGGATGTGTCTGTTCCCGGCGGGAAACTTCAGGACCAGTTCCCCGCGCTGCACCACCGCCGCCTCCCGCATCGCGAACTGAACCTGACAGCTGTACAGGAAACGAGCACGCTGGATCTGCAGGTCAGTGTGCTGTGGAAAGATAAGAAAAAAAGACAGATTGCATCAGTAAATATCAGTGTCAGCGGTGTCGCGCGGACAGATGTCACCCTTACAGTTTGTTTTAACAGACAGGCTCGTGTCTGAGGTGCTGACGTTCTCCCTGTCTTGTTAGCACTACCACACGCACCTGTATAAACCGACTGGCTGTTCCAGCCCCCTACTATGACTGTTGGCGCGTCCTCTCTCAAAGATGGAGTCCAGAAAGATCAAGGGTCCCACAACTACTTGATGTGTTTACCATGATAGTTGAAACTGAGAAGACATGAAAAAGTGCTCTCTTGGCTGGGATGGAAAGATGTTAAAGCAGCACTTTGTAACATTACGACGATACAAAAAGGCAATGTTCAAGTTGACTCAACTTTATAGTCCATTGCAAATAAGTACCATTCAGGAAGTGGAGGTGCCAAAATATGACGTCTTACGAGTGTTCAATAGCTAGAGACATAGCTGTCAGCCATGTTTGTTTTACATTCTGGTAGTTTGTGGTGGCACCACAAACTTAGTGTGCCTCGTGTGGGCTGTTTTAGCGTCATAAATAAGTGACAGCAATGTGAGATGATTGCACAAGTATGTTGAAAAGTGGAAGTAAATTACTAATCACACAAATGTTACACGAATATTTTTAATAAAACATTTAAAAAATAGGTGTCAGAAATGTGAGATGACTGCACAAGTACAGTGGATAGAAAAGTGGACGTAAATTACTAATCACACGAATATTTTGTAAATAAGATGTTTCAATATTAATTTTTCAACCTGCACGGACGTGCGCACACACACACACACACACTCACACACACAAACACACACACACACACACACACACACACACACACACACACACACACACACACACACACACACACACACACACAACACACACACACACACACACACACATACACACACACACCACACACACACACACACTCATACACACACACACACAAACACACACACACACATACACACAAACACATGTACACACACACACACACACTCACTCATTGTCTCATGAATTAAAAAATGATTCAAACAGATGTTGGCTTCACGTTTACCGCAGGAATTAAAATGCCTTCATAAACCATATTTTTTTGGAATACATTTTAATTGCATAACTGCATTGGCGCCGAATTTAGACAAAAGTGTACAATTTTTCAGCCCTGTCGATAGACCACTTGGCAGGGAGTACTTGTTATTCACCTCAAGGTTATGTGCCAAGGTGGTCCTGTTGTTGGATATCACAGAGAGGGGCTCACTCGTCAAGTGTTTGTTTCCTATTCAACCACCTCTGACATCCAAAGTGAAACTACACGCACAGCTGCAGCGACAAGTGACTGTGACAAGGCAACGTCCTGCAGGTACATACCAGTAAGGCAACAGCAAATAATTTGTATGGATGACATCAGCGCGTGCATTAATTTTCGCATGATTTTGGGAAAAAAAATGCCCTCTGACGGTGGTCAACATGCCGAAAATGGGCAAATATGTTGTAAATGCCCATCGGTTCAGAGACCATCAGGGATCCAGCATACTTGAGGCACAATGGTTCGCGTTTGATCGGAAATGTTGACACTGACATGTTCCATCGCATTCAGCCGAATTCTTGTTTTACAAGGCTTATGACGTCAAAATTTGAAAATGAAAGAGTCCGTTTTTTTTTTTTGTCGCCTTGTTTTGATTTGCCCTATCGCATTATATTGGAGTCTGCGGATGTCATCATAAAATTTACTTGCTGTGGCTAAAGAATGGAAGCGAATTTGGAATTCTCTCTCTCTTTCTCTCTCACACACACACACACACAGAGAGAGAGAGAGAGTTACACGGGCGCACGTGCACAAACAAACTTTTGACACGCTCACGCACAGAGAGATATGCACAAACTTACACAAACCGTGACGCACACACCTACAGAAACACAAACACTCGCAGGCACAGCACAGAGAGAGAGCGAGAAGGAAAGAGAGAGAAAGAAAGAGAAACGCACACACAGTCACAACAAGAGCGCAAGTGAAGCAATGATCATTTTGACTTACGCGAGAAAGAAAAAAACAACATTAACCTGACTCTTGGAGCCATTGTACGGGACCGCCAACACCTGGTCATCAGATCGCGTTTTCCGCTGGCGGCAGAAGAAAGACAGCGCCTATTCCCCGCCTATTCGCGGCAGACGACAGCGAAGCGCAGAGACTGTTGAAAGGCGGTCCTATAAGTTGTCCTCTTCGTCAGAAGTTGGGATCGCAGGAGGTTAAATCAACTGGTTACCATGGTGATGCTTAGCATTGCAAATGAAATCATTAGAAACCCACAACAAAACTTTTCGATTTTAAACTTCATTACGGCAATTGTGCATCAAAAGTCGTGATTGTTTGAAGGAACTCTACACTCATTCATCAATCTGTTGATGATGTTCACAAATGTATTGATGATGTATGGATGACATCCGCGCGCGCATTGATTTTCGCCTGTCGCCCTCAAAAAAAAAAAGATCACCTCCACCGAGGCTCTGGCCTGGCTCTAGGCCTGGGTAGTCCATGCTAGTCAGCGACAAAACGGAGCCGAGCACCCAAGTTATCGAGTTCGAAGCTCCACGACTCAAGAACTCAGGACATAAGTATAGTACCGATTCATAAATGCCACAAAAAGCCAGCATGTGCCGGCTTATCGTATACGTCACTATGTACTGTCGGGAATTCACAATACCAGCTTTGTATTCCTGTGGTTCAGTAGCATTTTTATTTTTGGCCGGAATTTTTTTTTATTCGCCCGCGCGCACTAGTTTGGGGGTCTTCAGAGGATGTCATCCATAAAATTAAATCGGTGTGGCCTAATCCTCGAATCGTCGTCACTCCCGCCTCGGACCCTATCCTGCGATCCTTCATCGGGAGATCCGAGGAGGATTTTTCACCGTCGCCGGCGAAGGAAGTGGGGGGGTCATTGCCCTTATGCAAATAAGGCCGACTTTAGACTGACGACGGTATACGATCGCACGACAATCGTTGTGGGCGACGGCTGGCTTTAGACACATGACCAGGAAATGTGGCGGACACCCGCAGCGTAGGATAGCACGCCGCGCGCCAATTCAAAATGCAGAGAGGACCCCTTTTTTCGGCATGCTGCAGCAGATTGTTTTTATTCTGCTTTTAACTCGCGTTGTCCTGTGGATGAGACGCTGAATTTGTGCCCAGCAAAGGCCCGGGGCATTCGTCCCGTCCCGTCATGTCATCCATATCATGTCATACATGCCCCATGCTATCATTTCATCCATTATTCCAACAAGAGTTAACTTTTAATATGATTATTCGCATGAGAAACAGGGAATATGGGCAGTCACAACGTATATCACGTATATAAGGATGAAGTTCGTTACCAGTATGACCCCTAGTAATCCCAGGAGCCCAGTGCGCATGAGCACAAGTACAGATTATCGAGATATAGAACATGTTAGAGACGTAAACCACAATGCATCGCGATTACACCTGCGTTCTCGGTACTGTGAAGTGTTACAATATTATATAAAATGACCAAATCGGTCCAATGAGTGTTCGGTATTCTTTATGAGAGCAAAACTTAGTTCAATATGAGTATTGTATATCACCATAGGAACCAGTCATTCTATCCTCCAACAGTATGGTATTAGACAGTTATCAGTCTTATATATTAGCAAAGACATTTGCATATACTAATAGGATTAGCATGTTCCAATTCCCCTGACTTAGCGGTGATGGACATTAAACTATTATAAATTTAACTTACTAGGAGCGTAATTAAGTCATGCCAGAATTTGAGAAGTTTGGATTCGTAAATCTGTGAGCACATGAATGTGTTATTTTCAAAATCCAAACATTACTTACGTGCATATACCAAATTGATATTGGCTATTTCTTTAATCATATGCCTAATTTAAAGTAAAATAATACCTTAAAAGGAAAACTAATTGAATTGTGTTCTGCTCTATGGCGTAGTCAAATATGAACTAAAATTACATCATGTTATGTGAAAGATTCTACTACTTTCTAATGTCTCCACATTAGAAAGTAGTAGACTGGCACCAGATACTAAATGAGGAATCTCTGTATACTTTTGTTGCTGTTTTATTGAAGTTTAATATATTTAATTTATTACCTTTTAAGTGATTGCTTGTATCTGCGTGTGTTATTTTAAAATCTCTGCTATCAACGAATTTACACAGTCAAAGTCAAGTAATTCTTCAAGAAGAGTGAATTGACTACAAACTGTCCCTGCTTAGCCACACGCCATCTACCGAAAAATTTGCACATTGCATTTACATTGCGGAGAAAGCATGTTATGTTAGGAAAGAGTCGCATGAGGGCGCAGTGACCCGATCATGGCTTACACATCACATGGCAAGTTTAAAGCAGAACTATGCAATTAGGACCAAGCCAAAGTCGTCATATCATCCTAAATTTAGGACATTATTGGGATGTTACGTATGTATAATACAAATGAAAATGCCATATTATATACATACGTATACAAAGGTCTTCGAAAGGTCTCATTCCTAATTCATTGATTTGTAATAATCGTCTAGCACTTGATTGAACGGAAATTCTGTATTGTATAATATCTATTGGTTTCCCTTCCCAGTCAAATATGAGCGACGTGACCTGGTTTTCATGTAAATACTTTTCTTCATCATGTCGTCATTTTAGCAGTAAAACGCTTCAAAGAGGGATTTTTGTTACACCAATGTAATGACTTCAATGGCTGAGACATCTGTTAGCCCCTGTACTGACACAAGTCATTGTTGTCATTGCTTATAAGTTTCGTTTAATTTATCATAGGTTATTAGATATTTATAATTAGTGCAGTTTACTCTTTCTCATGGCCGGTAATTTCGAAAATCAGTGCAAGCAAAGCACCCCATGCTGTGATGGGCACGAGATTATCCGGTAATGTATGACGTCGAAGACGGTCATTGGTACTTTATGAAATGTATCTCAATTCCTATGTTCCAATGCTGCATGTCACTTTGCTCTTATGCAGGAAAACACGTTATTGAAAGTTTAAAAATACAAAATATCCTGGGGGAGCATACCCCGGACCCCTATATAGCTCTCGCCTTCCGGAATTTACTGCTAAACGTCGTCAGAGGTGCTGAATTTACCATTAACCATTGAAAGCTCCACCCCACCCCCATGCAGACCCTCATGTAAGCCTGAATTTATATACCTCCCCCGTTAAAGACATTGTAAGGTACATGTAATGCGCAATTTGTTACTTGAGTAACCGTCTTTTCGTTTAAATACCTATATTAGTAGGGCAACCAAACCTTACTGCAGCACGACTTACAGAGCAATACCCCCAGAGTCACCCGAGAGGGG